TGGCCACACAATCTGAGTGTCCTTGACTGAGTAAGAGATTCTTTCTCCATGACTGCACAGTCAGTGTAGATGTGTTGTGTACCACCTCTCCTGAAAATCGTACACATTTTCATGATTCAGTTCCCACGTGCAGAGACAATTGACTGAAAAAGAAACCTCCCACTCAGCAAGCCAGATTTTTTTTCCCCTCAGAAGGTGGCACGTTACTTTCTTCTTCTCTTTGGGAAGCTCCAAGTAGAAGCTGGTCATGGACTAGTTAAGGTCACTTAATGAAACTACATGCTTCTAGCAGGTAGCGTCTCCACTCCGAGCAGCTCTTTTAGTTGTTGGAATTCACAAAGGGACATGCTAGATATGTTTGATACCCTATTTCACAAAGGGATTTTCCATTTTTACTATCTCTGTCCTGCTCCAGTTTGTTTAGTTTTAAAAGAGTAGAAATAAAAATCATAGTTAGCAGCAAAACACAGGGAAAGGGAAATGATTGCTGGGAAATTGTATATTCTTTTACAAGGGCATCGGTCCCATTCAACTATTGGGTAGTGCCTCCTGGCACGTTAAGCTTGAAGAATTCTTGGAAATGTGAGTTCTCTGGGGCTGCATGACTATCCCCAAGAGATATGCATGTCCAAGCCAATGAAGAGGAGGGTGATTACATTCCATCTTTTCCAGTGTGTAAAGAGCATTAAAAATCCACTTTGTGGCCCTATTTATATGATAAATATTTTCTAGCTTTTTAATTTAAGTGTAAATATTGAGCATGTGTTAGACTTTGAGTCTATAACTGAGGATAATCCTCTGGATTTCCTCAGTGGAGGGAATCTTTAGGGCCTACCTCTGTTATGCCTCATTCTGAAATGTTAGGTCTTGAGTGCCAAAAGGGTTTCAAAGGTGCACCTTGTGCCTGGGAATTTACCTGAAACTGGACGTGCGTGTTCAGTACCTCATACGGTTTGGGGAAACTCACTCCCCAGAATAGTGTTCAGTTTCTCAGTGCTCACTCCTGGGTGTGCTGGGATTGTCAGATGGACTCACTGATACTGGAGGCCTACATCCCAGGAGAAGCCTTAAAGGAATAGGCACTGGCACCTGAGTGCCAAGGTTTGGAGCAGGGTCCACAATGGCTATCAGCAACACTGAAGCCCAGTATTGCCACGTAAGCAAAGGCATCTGGCATCAGCCCAGCATCCAAAAGAAGCTCTAGTACAAAGTCTCCCCAAGCACTGCTTGCCATTTAGGAATTAAAATAGCACTGAAGCTATTGGCTGTGACAGTTTCAGCACTGATTACATGATTATACCTATATGGGAGTCCAGAGCTGACACCTCTTTTGGGTATTTGAAGGCAATTCCTCTCTCCCTGTAGCCCAGAAATCCCAAGTCAGCCCGGCACTTGATCTGTAGAGATGCCAACCACCTAATCTCAAGATGATTCTTACCAACAACCATAGGACATACCACACTAATACCAAACCTGATACCTTCTCTTGCAACAAACTCCGTTGCCAGCTTTGTCCACATATTCACTCTGCTGATACCATTATTGGACCTAACCAAGTGAGTTATAAGATCAAGAACACATATTCCTGCGCATCCAGAAATATAATTTATGCTATCATGTGCCGAAAGTGTCCGTCTGCTATGTACATTGGACAGACGTCTCAGACACTTCGCCAAAGGATCAATGCCCACAAAACAGATATTAGACAGGATCACAAAGAAAAAACAGTTTCTTGCTATTTCAACCAGAAAGGACATTGTCTCAACGACTTGATTACCTGCATCCTGCTTCAAAGACCTTTTCAGACCACACTTGAAAGAGAATCCTCTGAACTGTCATTCATGCTTAAATTCGACACTTTACACTTAGGTTTAAACAAAGACATTAATTATCGTATCCTGTTCCAGTATAGGCTGTAGTTTATTGATAATGTGTTGGACAGGTTTAAGTTGGGGGTTGTAGGTGATGACACACCACTTCTGAAATTTGATTTGTCCTTTTCATATGTGTTCATTTTTTTAATTGTATCCTTTGGTATATATGGTTGCGACTATTTTCTTCCACTATTTGATCTGAGGAAGTGGGTCTGGCCCACGAAAGCTCATCACCTAATAAACCATCTTGTTAGTCTTTAAAGTGCTACATAGTCCTGTTTTTTGTTTCAGCTACACCAGACTAACATGGCTACATTTCTATCACTATTCTTCATCAGAGTGTATGCCTTAAAGAATGGAGAACAGAAAGCCTAGATTCAAATTCCAGTAGTGTTCTGAGAGAGACACCTTTGCACAAGCTGGAGGAGGAATCACTGGCACCAATCTCCATCCCCAAAGCAGGACAACAGAAGTGGCTGACACTAGTACAGGCAGAACTGACCTCAAACCATGTTTCTTAGGGTATGTCTACACTACCCCACTAGTTCGAACTAGCGGGGGTAATGTAGTCATCCGCAGTTGCAAATGAAGCCCGGGATTTGAATTTCCCGGGCTTCATTTGCATGAAGCCAGCCGGCGCCATTTTTAAATGCCGGCTAGTTCGAACCCCGTGCCGCACGGCTACACGCGGCACGGAGTAGCTAGTTCGGATTAGGCTTCCTAATACGAACTAGCTGTACACCTCGTTCCACAGAGTCATTTAGTAACAGAAAGAGAATTTAAATTGTTAAAGATATTTATCTTGTAGAAAAAGAAAATATTTTGAGTGCTGCTAGGTCACTCCACATTTCTCCAATCAATTAGCTTAAACTCTAGGAGAGAGTACTATTTTTGTATTGTTTGTTCCCAGTCCTGCCATCAGATGTGTTGAAGTGGAGCTATGCTCCCTTGTAAAGTCAATGTGTACTAGGAGAAAGGACCACACAGGTGCACCTATTTGTAGGGAAGGAGTAATTTTCCTTACTGTTCATGTTTCCAGTAGCACCCAAAAGCCCAAACAGAGGTCTGTTCTGCTAGCTAGGTGCTGTTCCCAAATGTTGTTTTTAATAGCCATTTTGTTAATGTCTAAATTTTTAACATGTATCTTGTTTCTTCATTAAGAGACCGATTATGGGTAGTGGAAGTGTTCTTTACTTAAGCAGTATTCCAGGTGGAGCTGATAGTTTTGTGCTCCTATATCATATGGGGAAAAGATTTTGTTTTGCTTGACTTGCCAGTATTTTTGTTCATCTTGAGCTGCAGCTAAAGGAAGAATTTCTGCTCATGTTTAATAAATACAAAAGATTACTGTGTTCTGCTAATTGGATCCTGAGGCTAGCTGTAGCTTTTAAAAAACATTAATATAAACTCTGTTCCATAGCTTGTCTTCAGTGTGAAAGTTAACATCTAAATTTCACAATCTGTGTAGGGAGCTGTGCAGAGTTAGCTATGTACAGGAGGAGAGTTACGCTTCCTTCTCTCCAGGCTGTTAGTAACCTCTACAACACACCTGGGAAGAGTTTTAGGGAAGATCTCAGAAATAGCGTATTTATAAACTTCATGGTGGAGAAGGGGGAAACACTCGGCAGTACTTAGGGGGGATAGGACAACGCAACACCAAAAGAGATAATTTAATTTCAAAAAATAAACACAGGTTCACTAAAGGGAGGTCATGCCTAACAAATCTAATTCTCTTTTAAAAAATTATTTGTTTAGAAACATGATTTTATGTGAATAGCTATGGAAATAATTTACCTGAACTAATCTGTAAAGTTAGAGATCAATGTGTGGGATACTTGAGAGTAAAAAATAGGTTTAATTATCAGTGAGGATAATTTGTATAAAAGCAGTTTGGGATGGAGGAAGGTGACTAATGGAATGCCACAAGGATTAATATTAGAAAGAATGCTATTCACTTTGTAATGACCAGAGGTTGGAATATGCAGTTTGGTGATTTAATGGCTGATAGAAAATTAGAGAGCAAATTAATGTAAAGCAGCAATATAGTACAATTCAGAGAATGTGTTAGATAGGTTTGCAATACCTACTTATCTAGAGCACAGGAGACTAATGATCAACAATGTGACACAAGCAGTATAGACCCAGCAGAGATTCAAACAAAGTAATTAAAGAACAAAAAAGCAGGGCCATTGTGATATACTTTCTTGACCAAGAATGAGGAGTCTTGTGGTACCATAGACTAACAGATTTATTGGAGCATAAGCTTTCATGGGCAAAGACCCTCTTCATCAGATTCCCACGAAAGCTTATGCTCCAATAAATCTGTTAGTGTATGTCTACACTTGCACCCTCTTTTGAGAGAGGGATGCACATGAAGACATTCAAAATTGCAAATGAAGTTGGGATTTAAATATCCCACACTTCATTTGCATCATCGCGTTATGGTGCTATTTCAAAATAACAGACGTTATTAAGACTCGGTTATTTTGAGAGAAAACGCTTCTCTCGAAATAACCCTTATTCCTTATACAATGAGGTTTACCAGTTATTTCAAGAGAAGAGTTTTCTCTTGAAATAACTGCATCTTAACAGCATCTGTTATTTCAAAATAGCGCCATAACGCAATTATGCAAATGAAGCATCGGATATTTAAATCCCGGTTTCACTTGCAGTTTTGAATGTCTTCATTTGCATCCCTCTCTCGAAAGAGGGTGCAAGTGTAGACATACCCTCAGTCTACAAGGTGCCCCAGAACTTCTCATTGTTTATGGAGATTCAGACTAACATGGCTACCCCTCTGTTTCTTGACCAAGAATCTAGCACCATTCATATATTTTATTTATATACAACTTACACATTTTGATGAATTTTTTGCAGACATCCACTCATTTTGATACGACACAGTAAAATATATCTTGAAAATCTATTTGCTTAATGTAACCCCCAGATGAATCGCTGAGAGTCCAACAATAAATAGTAGATAATATTTAAGAATAGAGGAGACTCTACCAGATGACCTCTCAAGATCCCTTCCAATCCTATGATGCTATGATTAACCAGCCACATCTTAATAAATAAAGTGGTATAAGGAAAGAAGTTGCATCTCAGTTTGTTTCCTTTTTTCAGGAAATGCTTGCAACAGGAGATTGATTTTTCATGACTTCTTCAGCTTTACCCCATCATTGTCTAAATCTCACTGTAGGACACTGCAGCCCAGCTGAGAAAATGATGGATCTGCCTGAATGCCAGAGGTTAATGATTCTTGCAAATATTCCCATATCATTCATAGTAGCTGTCATCCCAGCCCAATTAGTTGCTGAGAGTCACTCTGAGATACCGCCTTGCCTGGTTTGTGCATCTTGGACAATGAGCCATACTCACCACTTTGACTGACTAGTAGGAGAATGGCAGTAATGTTTGCATTTGCACTACAACTGTTGTTCTATGATGAACACAGGATGTTGTCATCCCTATCATTAGCATTGTCATAGCCATTCTCAACTTCACCGTTCTCATCAGTCAAGTTTGCAGTGGGAGCATTGACATACTTCCTTTCCATTCACACTTGCCACATTTTCTTTGAAATAAACACTTGTGTTTGTATACCTCTCAAGTGATGGAGCAATTATTGAAAAGAGCCATGACGCAGTAATTAAAAAAAAGTTGGCAACTGACATTGTAAAAACACCAGCCTTTGATTTTTTTGCTGGCATGAAATGTGTAGTTGAACACAATTCTTCTAGGAAGCATGAATTCCCACTTCTAGAGCAATCCAACACATCTGTAATACCCAAGACCTCAGACTGATAGTTGGACCCAATTAGAATAAATCTGACACGTTTGCGTATTTCCTGTGGTTCTTTGCAAATCAGTTGTTTATTTGAGGGAAGAGAGTGCTTCCAGATTATATACTATTTAAAAGGAGTGGGAAATTCAACTGAGGTACAGTCAACCTCACAAGTATATTATAGAACAGTGTTCCTTAAAGTGGGCTATGGGCCTGCTTTGGGAAAAAGCCACTAGAGGACTTGCACCATTTGGTTTACTTCAGTGCTTTTTTTTTTTTTTTTTTGGGGGGGTAAGAAAAAAGGTGCCAGTACTCTGGGGCAAACTTGTTGAGAAAAAAAAAAAAACATGCTGGGGGCCGAAATGCAGTTGTGGCTCCTTTAAGATCCATGGCGCCACGCTGGGAGCTGGGGGGAAAAAAATCACAGGCTTCCAAGCCGCTCCAGGAAAACAGGTGCCAGTACATGTGGGGGAAATCCTATTTCTTTTCTGTGGGCTGGGAAAATAGGCGATGGTATGCCATTCCAGGCAGTACCGTCACAAAAACAGCACTGGTTTCCTTAAACAGTCCATAACTATTAGCCTCACAGTTCTCATTGGATCCAGTTTGCTGTTTCCAGCCAAGAAAAGCTGTGGGAAGTGGCATGGCCTATAGCTCCCTTGGCTGGAAATGGTGAACTGGAACCAATGGGAGTTGTGAGGCTCCATGGCTACGGATCCATTAGGTAAACAAAGTAGCATGGGCCCACTAGTGTTTCCTCCCCAAAGCAGGCCCATTGCCCACTTTGAGTAACGCTGATGTAGAACTGGGGGTACGTCTACAATGCGGGCTAAAGTCGAATTAAGCTATGCACCTTCAGCTACGTTAATTGCATAGCTGAAGTTGAAATAGCTTAATTCGGCTTTTGGTGCTGTCTATACAGCAGGAAGGTGACGGAAGAACATTCTTCCTTCAACTTCCCTTGCTCCTTGTGCAATGAGGGTTACAGAAGTTGGGGTAAGAAGCTCGTTATTTCAAAATTATTTTAAAATAATGGGCTTTCTGTGTAGATGCACCCTCTGTTATTCGAAATAATATGAGTTATTTTGAAATAAGTGTGCAGTGTAGACAAAGCTTTAGTGAGTGAGGGGCAAATTTTCAAAAAGTGTCCTGTGTTTATACACATGCAGCCCTGTGCCTACCAATAGCTCCATACATATTTTTCAAGCACTAACACTTTCATACACAGGAGATAGAATTTACCAGTCTAAAATGCATTTAGGCATTGGGAGTCTGTGTGTGTGTGTTTGTATGTGTGTGATTTCCTACTTACATTCTGCAATTGATACTTCTAGAGCAGGGATGGGCAATAATTTTTTTCCAGAGACCACTTCAAAATTTTTTGAAGTGGCCCTGGGCCACCCCAGAAGGGTATGTCTATGCTACCCTCCTAGTTCGAACTAGGAGGGTAATGTAGGCATACTGCACTTGCAAATGAAGCCCGGGATTTGAATTTCCCGGGCTTCATTTGCATAAGCGGGGAGCCGCCATTTTTAAAACCCCGCTGGTTCGAACCCCGTGCAGCG